GGGGGGGGGGGGGGGTAGATGTGTTTGATCCATCTGATGTCCTCAACCATCTCTGTCTTCTTCACATTGATGTGAAGGTTATTCTCTTTGCACCAGCTCTCCAGGTGTTCCACCTCTTGCCTGTAGCTGGACTCATCATTGTTTGTGATGCATCCCACCACCACTGTATCATCTGCAAACTTTACAATGTGACAGCCTGGATGGGTAGCTGCACAATCATACGTGAGCAGAGTGAACAGGAGAGGGCTCAACACACATCCCTGAGGAGAGCCAGTGCTGAGGGTTATGGTGGAGGAGAAGTTGTGGATCCTCACTGACTGTGGTCTGTTTGTTAAGAAGTCCAGGACCCAGTTGCAGATGGAGGGGCTTAGTCCTAGTGTGGATAGTTTGTCCATCAGGGTTTGGGGGATCATGGTGTTGAAGGCAGATGTGAAGTCCACAAAGATCATACGGACGTAGGAGTCCTGCTCCAGCTGGGGGAGAGCACTGTGGACCACAGAGGAGATGGTGTCTTCTGTTGATCGAGTCTCATGGTATGCATACTGATGAGGGTCCTCGTTGATGTTGATGGTTGTTTTGATGTGAGTCATGACCAGTTTTTCGAAGCATTTAATGACTATCATGGTGAGGGCCACTGGCTGGTAGCCCAGACCAGTCACTGTAGAACTCTTTGGGACTGGGATGATGGTGGCAGTTTTCAGGCAGGTGGGAACTGTCTCCAGGGTAAGTGAGGTGTTAAAGATGTCTGCCAGCACCTCACAGAGCTGAATTCATGAATTAAACAAACATTTATAATAAAACTTTATTCATAAAGCACTTTAAGAACAACACTGTTGGCCAAAGTGCTGGACCGGAGTATTTAACTGGAGTAAATGGTTTTATTTATTGTTGCAAGCTCACAGGAGTTCCAGGAGGCTCAGGTGTTTTGATCAGAGCAGAGATCTTCCATGAGCAGAAACAGAAAGCATTAAATGTCACAAAGCATCAGAGATGGAACCGAGCCGAACGTCCTCCCTGCGGCGCCGCCGCTAATTGAAGTTTTTATGACCCTCTGTTCGGCCCAAACTCGAGTTGCCCCTCAAACAAAACCTAAATCTGTCCTCCTGTCCGTGAAGACTCCCAGGAGCTTCATGGGCGACTTCTTTTTATTTCCCTGCGTTCTGCCGAGGCGGCCAGCTGGTGGACCAATAAAACCAGTCCAGAATCAGTTACAGCTAAACGGACCGGGTTCTGTTCACATTCAAGTTTAATTATTCAGCTGAAAATTGGTCCGGAGAAACAAAAGTTTCAAAAGAAAAAGTAGAAGTTTTTATTTTTCCTGGGCGGTTCAGGTCGTTTTATGATGCAGTCTGCAGCTTTTCCACTAGATGGCTCCAAATCCATCACCTCAAATCTTCAGGACTTTTTAAATTGCAGGAAAAAATGGTTGAAAATGTCTCGGTAAAGCTTTCTTTGCATAGGTTTACATCAGATTGAAGTTTTAAAATCTTTATCCAGAAATATCCTGATTCACGCTCCACAATCCAGGTAGAAAAATCTGAAGAACTTAAGTCAGATCCTCTGGACGGATTCTTTTTGTTGAGATGTTTCATCTTTTATCCAAAAGACTTCATCCAACCATGTGGAGGTGCTTTTTATAAGACTGAGTTTGTTGTGGCTCCTTGCACCGATGAAGTCTTTTGAATGAAAGACGAAACATTTCAACCAAAGGAGTCCGTCCAGAGGGCCAGACTTTTTTAGATTTATCCAGAAATATGAAATGTTGTTTTTCAACATCACGATCTTTCACTCATGTTTGCTTTCTCTGATTGTTTTTCAGTACCTGAACAGAGGCTGCACTCGGTTCTTCGCCACCAAAGACACAGATAAACAGATCCTGCAGAACCGCAAGAGTCCAGAGGTATGACACCCTCCTCACAGGACTTCTTTTATCTGAGGAGGAGGATAAACATATGGTTTTATTGGATAAAAATACAGTTTTTGAAGAACTAGAGACGAGCTGAATTAATAACAAAGATGGTAAAGCACTAGAATAAAAACTGTAGGTTCATTAGGGTTAGCCTGCAGGTTAGCTGGTGTTAGCCTGGAGGTTAGCTTGTGTTAGCCTGGAGGTTAGCTTGTGTTAGCTCTTAGGCTAGCTATTGCTAGCTAGGGTTCACTTGTAGACTAGCTGCATGAAACAAAAACGTTCTCCACATTCAACAAGCTGCTGCTGGAATTCTTCAAGCCAGCATGAGATAAGAATAAAAACAGTCAAACTGGGACGAGAAAAACAACTGCATTGTTTCTGTAGACATGCTGAAGGAACCTTGACCAAAGCTCGGATGTGGGAGGAGTTCGGTGAGGCCTTGGATAAAGACTCTCGATCTGCTTCGGCAGATTCTGGCAAACCATCAAGTGGTTGAGGCGAAAGCAGCTCTTTACTAACATTGTGTTCAGTGAAGGTGGGTGCTGTTGACCTCAACCATGGCTGAGATCACCGAGGTAGTTACAAAGCTCCACGATGGCTGGGGGTGGATGAGATTCACCCTGAGTTCCTAAAGTCTCTGGATGTTGTGGGGCTGTCTTGGTTGACACACCTTTGCAACCTCGCGTGGACACCGGGGGCAGTGCCACTAGATTGGCAGACTGGGATGGTGGTTCTCCTCTCCCTCACCAGGGTCCTCGAGGTGTCACTGGAGTTTGCCCATCCAGTCTACATAAGTTTTGTGGACTTGGAGAAGGCAGTCGACCGTGTTCCTTGAGGTACACTGTGGGGGGTGCTCTGTGAGTATGGGATTGGGGGCCTGTTGTTATGGGCTGTTCAATCCCTATACAAGCGGTGCGAGAGTTTGGTTCACTTTGCTGGTAGTAAGTCGGACCCCTTCAGGGTTGGATTTGGACTCCACTGGGGTTGCCCATTGTCAGAGATTCTGCTTATAACTTTTACGGACAGAATTTCTTGGTGCAGCCAGGGGCCGGAGAGATTCCGGTTCGGTGGCCTCAGGATTCATCTCTGCTCTTTGCAGATGATGTGGTCCTGTTGACGTCATCGTGCCGTGATCTTCAGCTCTCACTGGAATGGTTTGCAACCGAGTGCAAAGCGGCTGAGATGAGAATCAACACCTCCAAATCTGAGGCCATGGTCGTCAGTTGGAAAAGGGCGGATTGATCTCTTCGGGTCGAGGGTGAGGTTCTGCCTCAAGTGGAGGAGTTCAGTGCAGTTTTGTGGACTTTGTTCAAGTCCGTTGTTGGGAAGAGAGAGCTGAGCTGTAAGACAAAGCTCTCTGTTTACCGGTTGGTCTACGTTCCTACCCTCACCTATGGTCATGAACTCTGGGTAGTGACTGAAAGAATGAGAGAACGAGGCAGTTGAACTGAGTTTCATCTGCAGGGTAGCTGGACTCTCCCTTAGAGATAGGGTGAGAAGTTCAGTTATCAGGAGAGACTCGGCATAGAATCGCTGCTCCTCCACATCCAGAGGAGCCAGTTGAGGTGGTTCGGGCATCTGGTAAGGATGGACCCTGGAGGCCTCCCTAGTGTGGTGCTCCAGACATGTCAAACTTGGAGGAGATCCCAGAGATGACCCAGGACATGCTGGAGAGACTATGTCTCTCAGCTGGTCTGGGAACTCGTTGGAGTCCTCTCAGAAGAGCTGGAAGAGGTGGCTGTGGAAAGAGAAGAGATGTCTGGACCTCCGTGATCAAGCTGCTGCCCCTGAGACCTGAGTCCAGAACCAGATGATGGATGGATGCTTAAAGCAGCTCCAACATTGGTTAACTTTCTCCTCTAAAGCCCAGCGAGAAGTCAGGATTCTCCTTTTCTAACAGTCTAAGCTGTGACAGCCAGACTCTTATTTTGATACTCCAAGTTCAGTTCTCTTCCTGTTTCCTGCTGACACTGACTAAGTCCTCCTGAACATCAGAGGGCTGTGTCATTCCCCGATCTGTTACGGAAGCCGATCCGTAGTGTTGCTCATTTGTACATGCGCTTAAAGGAATACTTCCGGGTCGCACGGATCGCCGTTGAATATGCTGGATTAATGAAAATGTACTGGTATAACTCCGTTTATGAGTAATAACTGTCTTAATTTACTTAGAAAAGTATGTGCTCTATCTCCGCCAATTTTCATGTTGCTAATTTACGCCACTCGTATTTCCGTTAAAATCATTGATACGTTTATGTCATGGTTCAAATGATCTGCAGCTTCACCACTGAGCGGCGCTCTTTCATCATGGAAATGATTCTTTCTGTGTCTTGCAGGGTTTTCTCACTCAGCCCAGGCTGGGGGTCAGCTCTAATGCGTCGCATTTAACCAGTGATTTGTAACGGAAGTACGAGTGGTGTAAATTAGCTTCATGAAGATGGGTGGAGATAGAGCATGCACTTTTCTAAGTAAATTAAGACAGTTTTTATTCAAAAATAAAGGTGATCCATGCGACCCAGAAGTACGTACACTACGGATCGTGCTTCTGTAACAGATTGGGGAATGATGGGCTGATCAGAGATGACATGAAGGATCTATGGGGGTGGCCATGATGGAAACAGAGGAGGAAGAAAAGCATGCTGGGTAATATAGAAGATCCTGAAGCTGCTGGTTGTCATGGTGATCCCCACGTATTTTGACCCAGAACCCCTTACCCCACCTCTCTGTGTGGAGTCACACCCAAGAGACCAGAAAATGTCCAAGAGGTTGTTCAAGTCCCAGGGGTTGTCCCATGTCCCAGGTATTGTCCATGTCCCAGGGGTGGTCCATGTCCTAGGGGTGGTCCATGTTCCAGGGGCTGTCCATGTCCCAGGTATTGACCATGTCCCAGGGGTAGTCCATGTCCCAGGTATTGTCCATGTCCCAGGTATTGTCCATGTCCCAGGGGTGGTCCATGTCCCAGGGGCTGGTCCAAGTCCCAGGGACTGTCCAAGTCCCAGGTATTGTCCATGTCCCAGGGGTGGTCCATGTTCCAGGGGCTGTCCATGTCCCAGGGACTGCTCATGTCCAGGTATTGTCCATGTCCAGGTTTTGTCCATGTCCCAGGAGTGGTCCATGTTTTAGAGGTGGTCCAAGTCCCAGGGGCTGTCCATGTCCCAGGGGCGGTCCATGTCCCAGGGGCTGTCCATGTCCCAGGGGCGGTCCAGGTCCCAGTGGTGGTCCATGTCCCAGGGGGGTCCATGTCCCAGGTATTGTCCATGTCCCAGGTGCTGTCTATGTCCCAGGGGCTGTCCATGTCCCAGGGGCTGTCCATGTCCCAGGGGCGGTCCATGTCCCAGGGGTGGTCCATATCCCAGGGATGGCCCATGTCCCAGGTATTGTCCTTGTCCCAGGTGCTGTCTATGTCCCGTTTTGAAGTGTCTGAACGTGCCTTGTGGTTGTCACGGTGATTCCCACCTTTTTTAGGGATCTGGGAGGGAAAGACCCCAGCAGCACTGCAGGTAGACACACAGAGTAAAAAGTAAACCTTGGACTGTCTCTGTGTGGATCTGTGGGTCAGATCCAAGAAGTTCTGGACCCGTCAGCTGCAGAAGGTTCTGATTGTCCATGCTCTGTGGACTCCTGGTTTATCAGAAGGTTCTGATGGTCCAGTGTTTCTTCGTTCCTCGTCGTCCCTCAGGTGCGTCCCTCTGAGCGCCGACAGATGAACATGAACATGAAGCTTCAGGACCGATGACTAAAGCAGGTGTGAACAGGTCCAGGTGAGTGTGGTCTGCTGTGTGTAGGTCCGGTTCTGCTCGGTTTGTGACTGCATGCTGAGGTTTCTTCCTCTGAGTGTTTCCTGCTGCTCTGCTGTGGATCATCTCAGCATCTTGAAAGTCTTCAGTTCTTAAAGCACTCGAATCATCGAGACCCGCAGGTCTGCAGGGGCGGGGTCAGACCTGGACCTGAACGAGCATGGTGCTGATAGCAGATTAAATAATCACTGTTGTGTTCTGGTTCCTCAGCACACCAAGTCCGGCCCGTTGAAGGACCCGCTGCTGGACGACCACGGTGACTTCAACAGGATGTGCGTGGCCATGAAGAAGATCGGCTTGGACGACACAGAGAAGCTGGACCTGTTCAGGGTGGTGGCCGGCGTGCTGCACCTGGGAAACATCGGCTTCGAGGAGGCTGGAAGCACCTCAGGTTCTGATCCCTGTCCCTGTACCGGTCTCCTGCTAGACCTCTTCTAGAGATTTAGGAGTTCCATGATTGACAACCCTCTCACCTCCACGAGTTAACACCTGGCTTACTCCAGGTGGTTCTGTTAGATGTAGTCTGAGCAGGAAGAAGCTTCAGCTCAGGACTCGAATGGAACTGGAGACACGAGGTTCTGTTGGATCGACGTGTCGGAGACTCATTTACGTCACAAAGATCTAAGACTGTAACTGAAGACAACCGGCATGAAGGTCTGAAGGTTAACATACCATACCAGTTTATTTCTAAAGCACTTCATATACAACAAGCAGCTGTTCAAAAATAAAACCAACAGTAAAACAATAGAAACAACTAAATATATAAAAAATAATCAGAACATCACAAGCAACAACAACATTAAGACAGATGCTGACTCACTCTAGGTTCAAAGCCAGTTTAAAAGAAGTTTTTAAAGGAGTTTTAAAACAAAGTGACGGGGCCTGCCTGACCTCCAGATCATTCCACAGTTTAGGAGCCAGAGCTGAAAGGGCTCCGTCTCCTCTGGGTTTATAAAAGGTTTTCAGGACGGCTAGAAGCATCTGGTCAGATCTAAGAGCACGTGATGGTGTGTGAAGGGGAAGCAGTTCAGACGAATAAGAAGGACTAAGACCGTTCAAAGACTTAAAAACAAACAATAGAACTTTAAAATGGATTGGAAACTGGACAGGAAGCCAGTGAAGGGACATCAGAACTGGAGTGATGTGCTCACGCCTGTACCAGTCAAAAATCGTGCATCGATTGGTCACCTGAGAGGCTGTGATTGGTCACCTGAGAGGCTGTGAT